AGAGAGAGAGACAATGAGGTTAAAAAAAAAAAATCCAAGCAATAAACTTGTGAATTATCTTTATAGATGGTGTTACCTGTAACTCGAAGATCTGTCACACTGTTAGCCATTTTAAATCCGTAAGTCATTGACTGAAAATCTTCCTATACAAAAAAACGAATAATTAAGTCCCTGAGTAGTAGCAAAACCTTTCCTTATATTTATCTTAAAAAATCACTATTTGTTAGTAAGAAAACAGTAATGGAATGTCAGCCTGCTTTTCTTAATATTGCTATCAAACATCCAAGCTTTCCTTATCCTTGCATCCTTAAAAATCCATATTCTAAGGCTCTCCGTGTCCTTAATTTCAACTACTTATCCTTAGGCAATTTAAATATACTTGCATTTAATAGGTTCATTTACAAAATAAGGCTAATGCTTATGATAGTATTACAAGGCAATTCCCGTTTACAAAGTATTCTCAAATTCACAGGTGAACAGTAAATATGTAGTAATTACTGTTTGATTATAAGATTGTAAGATTTACATAAGATTCTTACTTCAAAAGCCTATTTCACTGTTAGGATAACAAAGGTTAAGCCTTACTCAAAGTGATAGCAAAACCACATCCCTACTTTAGCCCCATTCCAAAGAAAAATTATTCACACATGGATTCCTACCCCCAGAATCATTTAAAACACTACTGAGACATTAACAAATTAAGTGGCTTGCTGACTCGCATTGAAGACTATGAATTTAATTTCATCTGGATTATTTAACAAGTCAGAAGCTCTATTTAAGGAGTGTTTCTGTCACATTACAATGCTTATAAAAATGTATATAAAAGCCTAATATAATGCACTTAATAGGTATTAACAGCAGGGGCCAGAACTATAGCAAAATTTCTGAATTCTTAACAAAAGCAACAGAGATCATGCAATTCATGGTCAGGTATTACTATCTTACAGAAAAAAAAAACATTCATTATGCCCCTGGTCTCAAAGAACTCAGAGGTGTTATATCACTCAGAGGATGCAATACTTGAACATCAAATAGGATTCTCAAAGTTTACATGTATGAAAAAATGAACTCTCCTAATGTTTATCACATTGCTACAGCACCTCCATCTATCCAGTTACTCAGCTGAAAACCTGCACTTCAACTTTCTATAACTGTCTGCAGACAGGTCCCCACCTTCCCATACTTATCCCTGCGATAATTTGCCACCAGAAGTCAAAGGGATTGTTTTAAAAATAAGTCATTTCACAGCACTTTCTACTCAAAACCTAGTTTCCTTCCTCATAGGAAAATCCAAAAGCCCAGCATGGCCTCTAAAACCCTCCACCATGTGGCTCTGGTCTCCCTCTCCAACCTCATTTCCTACCCACCACTCTTCTCCGTGTCCACTGCACTGCAGTCACACAGGCCTGCTTGTGTACTTCAGACACATTGAACACATCCTCTTCTCAGGACCTTTGTACTTACTGAGCCCCCCCTCAAAATTATTTTCTTCAAAAGATTTACGAAGCTCCACCCCCACTGTTCCAATGTCAATTCCTCATACAGAGGTTTCTCCTGTGCATTCTCCCTAAAACAGTACCCTCTACCACTTTCTATCCCCTTCCCCTGCTTGACTTTTCCTAAAATTAATCACCACTTGACATTATATATGTACTAGAGGCCTGGTGCACAAAATTCGTGCACTTGGGGTGGGGGAATGGGGTCCCTCAGCCCAGCCTGCACCCTCCTGTGCCCTCTCATAGTCCAGGAGCCCTGTGATGGATCGCCCCCAGAGGGATCGTGGAGCCCCCCTGATTGATCAATTGCCCTGCCGGCCGGTGGCCTGGGCCTCCCTCTGCAGGGCGATCATGGGGCGATGGGTAGGCCCCCGACCAATCGCATCGCACCCACCTTGGCTGGCCTGGCGCCAGTGGGTATCATAGTGTGGTCATCTGGATGGTCATTCCACTGTTCGGCCGTTCGGCCGATTTGCATATTACGCTTTTATTATAATAGATTTGCTTATCCAACAGAATGCCTAATTCATGAGATCAGGCTTTGCTTTATTTACTACTTTATTCCAGGACTTAAGAATAGTGCTTGGCTCAGAGTACTGTTCAAAATATATTCGTTGAATGAATGATAACTTACTGTATCTGGATGGTCATTCCACTGTTCAGCCGTTCGGCCGATTTGCATATTACGCTTTTATTATTATAGATTTGCTTATCCAACAGAATGCCTAATTCATGAGATCAGGCTTTGCTTTATTTACTACTTTATTCCAGGACTTAAGAATAGTGCTTGGCTCAGAGTACTGTTCAAAATATATTCGTTGAATGAATGATAACTTACTGTAGGGCAGGGGCTATAAGTGTAAACAGCTGGTAACTTTCCTGAGTATATCAGGCTGGTTACAAAATACCTTGGAGAATGGTGGAGACCGTAGCAAACCAGGGGACACACACCTCATCTAAAGGAAGTCAGCCACTAGTTACCCTATTGTGGGCATGAATTAATGCAGGACTAGTGTGGAAGGATCTCCTAATTTTTCAAAGCAAAAACCTAATTTAATGTAAAATTTTCCAATTTTTAAATGTTACCAATTTTTTAAAAATTAAGTAGGCCAACATTGCTAAGACAAAAAAAATACAAAACACCTGTAAGTCCTCTCAGTGAACTGTTAAGTTTACCTAGAGGAGTCTAAGGAAAAGCATTTTTCTAGGAGAATATCTCAGGTCTGTGTAATAAATATAAGCCTCAATTATAAGAACTTAACCTAAGTTACTGAAGGGCTGAGACAGAGGATGCTGCTAAAGATGCTGCTATTAAAGATCACTCTAAAAATTTCGTGGATTTGAGAACAAAAATCAAAGTGAAACCAATACTAAATACAATCCAACAGTCCAAGCAGGAGCTGACGGTGATTTGGATTGAGGTTATAACTAAGAGTGGGTTGGTTGAAATCAGTATATATCTAAAAGGTAAAGCCAACATGATGTGCCAATGAAATGAATATGGGGTATGAGGAAACCTGTACAATCAAGAATCGTTTTTGGTCTGAGCAACTAGCAAATGATGGTACCAATTACTGAAATGGGCACATTTAGGGAGGAGCAGGATTAAAGGCAGAAATGGAATACCATTTTATTTATATTATGTTTTCAATTTCTTTGGTCAACCAAATGAAGATTTCAGGAAGCTACTTGCTTAAGTCTGGAAGTCAGGGGAGAAATCAGAACTAGAGATATTAATTTGGGGTTCAGCATCATAATGTTGGTATAAAAAGCCACAAGAACTAGAGGAAAGCAACTGAAGAAGTTATAATGAATAGAAAAAGCCTAGGAGTATTCCAGCAGTTGGAAGAACAAGCACAAGAAATGGACTCAGTGAGGAAGATAGAAATCTAAGATACTGATGTGTCAGGAGGATGAGGAGAAGAAAGTATTTCAAAAAGTAGTCAACTGGGTCAAATGATGCTGACAGGTTGAAGAGGGAGGGGTGAGAACAATGGATTTAGCAAAATGGATATCATTAAGGACCTTGTTAACACTAGTTTCTGTGTAGTGGTAGAAAAGAATGTCCTGTTGGACAATGTCCAAATGAGTGAGAAGAGACTGAAAGAGAAAGTAAAATAAGTAAATATTAACAGCTCATTCAAGGAGTTTTTTGTATAGGGTAGCAGAGAAATGCAATTATAAATAAAAGGAGCCATGGGGTCAAGGGAACTGGTGTTTTGTTATTCATTCATTCATTCCTTCGTCCGTCCGTCCATCCATCCATCCATCCACCCTCACCAAAGGATATGTTCTTACTGATTTTATAGAGGAAGCAAAGAGAAAGAGAGAAACATCAATGTGAGAGAAAACGTCGATTGGTTGCCTCTCGAATGCACTCCGACCAGGGAATTGAACCCGCAACCTAGGTATGTACCTTGACCAGGAATTGAACCTGTAACCTTTTGATGAACAGGACAGCACTCCAACCAATGAACCACCCGGCCAGGACTGATGTCCTGTTTTAAATTAAGTGATAGTAAAACATGTTTATATGCCAATTAGTAGTGAAGGAAACACTACTAATGCGATACAAAGAGAAGATTAATAACTGCAGTAGGCAAGAGGGAATAGAATCTAGAATGCTAGTGGAGGGGCTGAGCTTAGATTGTCACAGGTATACTTTCAATTTCAACAAGATAGAAGGCAAAGTATATGGGAATCAACACAGGTTAGCACTTGTGATAGTGAGAGATGGGGTACTTCTAATTCCACCAGATTCCAACTAATATTTCATTACAGTACAAAGCAAGCTGATAGAGAAGGGCTGATAGAGGTCTGAGAGGAAATGATGTGGAAAAGTCACCTTGGAGACTGGAAAAGCAAGTTCACTATAGAAGTGTTATGGGGTAGGACTGTCACTAGTGTTAAGGGCCCATCTGAGATTTGTAGTCCTAAAATTAAAGTGAGAACTAGACACACAGATATGGATTTTCTCAAGCACTTTTCTGCTGTTTGGGTACAAGTAGCAAGCAGGCAGATGGTTGGGGTTTTACCAGATAAGTGACACATTATGAGGAAATGAGAGCACTGGATCAGGAAAATGAGGACACAAGGAAAGTAACAGAAAAATAAAGCAAAAGCAAACAAATTGAAGGTCTCTAGTATAGAACTGAAGGATAGTGGGAGCAGGGAAATCAGAGTAAATAAGAGAGTAAGTGGAAGCAATCAAAATTTTTGGAGGTGAGATTAGTAGGGGTGGACCACACCATTATTAGTCAAACTGGTATACTGTTCAGAGTAGAAGAGGATGCTATTAATAATCACACCAGAACAAAAAGGTGTCAAGTAGGACTGTTCCATGCTAACCAATACCTACAGATACCAGCTGTAACAGAAGAATGTGCTGAGGAAGGGCAGAGAAAAAACTAAAATCTGGGCAAGTCAGGAGAATGGGATCCAACTTTAAAGATAAGAAGGACTGCCTTAGCTGGTTTGGCTCAGCAGTTAGAGCGTGTTGGCCCGATGACTAAAGGGTCCCGGGTTCGATACTAATCAAGAGCACATACCTCATTTGCAGGCTCAATCCCCGGCCCTGGTCAGGGCACATGTGGGAGGCAACCAGTCGATGCACTGGTGTTTCTCTCTCTCTCTCCCCCACTCCCTTCCACTGTCTCTAAAAATCAATGGGGAAAAAATATCCTCACGTGAGGATTAACAACAAAAAGATAAGCAGGACTTTGCCCTAAAAAGCCAAGTAAAAGAGAAAAGGCATAATGGCGAAGGTTCAAAGATATGCAGAGTCGCTGGCTTTAAGGATGGAAATGCAGGAGGCTTCTAGAAGTGGCAAAAGGCAAGAAAGCAGAACATTCGCTAGAGCCTCTGGAAAGGACACAGCCCTCCAGTACCTTGATTTTGGCCCTGAAAGATAAGCAGGACTTTGCCATAAAAAGCTAAGTAAAAGAGAAAAGGCATAATGGCGAAGGTTCAAAGATATGCAGAGTCGCTGGCTTTAAGGATGGAAATGCAGGAGGCTTCTAGAAGTGGCAAAAGGCAAGAAAGCAGAACATTCGCTAGAGCCTCTGGAAAGGACACAGCCCTCCAGTACCTTGATTTTGGCCCTGTGAAACTTGTGTGACACTTGTGCCCTCCAGAACTCTTCCTCTGCAACCATGCCTATCAAACCCAACATGTCTCAGATTGAGAATTTTGATAGGCTGAAATTGAAGACAGAAACACAAGAGAAAAATCCACTGCCTTCAAAAGAAACCATTGAACAGCGGAAGCCAGCAGGCAAATCATAATGAGACACAAACTGCCAATACTATGCACAAACCACCATTATGCACTGTATATTTCACAAGCACTGCCTTCTGATTTTTCTTATTTTAGCTGTTTAAGTTTGTAAGATGCAAAGAGGTTGGATCAGTTTAAATGACTCCTGCCCCTTTTCACATCAAAGAACTACTGACAGTGAAGGCTGCACCTGCCTCTCCCATCTGTCTGTCTGGCAGGCAGGGAAGGAAAAGAACTTGCATGTTGGTGAAGGAAGAAGCTGGGTGGGACGACAGTGAAATCTAGAGTAAAAACCAAGCTGGTCCAAGGTGTCCTACAGTCTGTAAAATGCAGTTTAATCAGAGTGCCTTTTTTTGTTGTTGTTAAAATGATTTTAATCATTGGAATGAACAATTTAAAAAATATGGAAATAAAGTTTTAAAACTTGAAAGAGAGAGAGAAAGAAAGATAAAGAGAGAGAGAGAGAGAGAGAGAGAGAGAGAGAGAGAAAGTGTAAGAGCCAGAAGGCACATCCTGTGCACTAGCATGAAATAATGGAAGAGAATAATATTAGGATCAGCTGAACAATAATATGCCAGGGGGAGAAAAACAAAAATGAGAAAGAAAATGTAGGCATACACTAGTTTGGCTCATCTGTCATTAATATTTAAATAATCACAATAATGTCAGCAATAAATAATGATTTAACCAAAAATTGAATTCCTATTTAGGGTAGGGGAGAGGGTAATGTAAAAATGCCAAATACCTGCCAAAGATGTACTGATATACCATTGCTAAAAACTGTTAAGTCCTTAAATCCAGAAATTAGAATATAAGCCTATTATCCAGAAATATGGAAATAAGTAGTAGGAAAAAGCTAAAAGAATATAATGACAGAATGGATAAGAAGAGCAGAGAACTGTAATTTCTCACTATAAGACTTGTGGGCTATTTGACTATGTGCAAGTATTATTACTTTTATTAAAACACAAACCCCAAGGAAAATTTTTAAATAGCAAAACTGAACATGACCAAATTACCTACTTTTAAGAGGGTCAAGTAGAGAATGAACTAGAGAGAAAGATCAGGCCAGAAAGAAGAGTTCTGCCTAAACCTAAAGCTAACAAAGGCATGAACTAAGCAGGAACAAAGAAAAACAGAGCCCAGATTCAAGGTATCTGCAAGGTAAAAAGAACCTGGATACAGAAGGTTAAAAAAATTTTTTTAATCAAAGATAACATTCTAGAAACCATTTTGCAAGATACAGAATGCAAGAGGAAAAGCGGTCTAATTGGGGAGGGGGGGCGATTATGGTTCCCATTTCGAATGTGTGAGCAAGATATTAAGAAAGAAATATTTTTACACAGCTTGAAAATGTATCCAGTTCAGGAGTTAAAATAAAACAGAGACATAATCTGAGAACAAAATACACCAGCACTTAGGAACTTCAGAAACATTATTTCAAACAAAAAAATGATTATGTCATTCTTATTTATTCATTACCAAATCTCTCTCTTTTTAAAAAAATTAACTTTATTGCTGAAAGTATTACAGATGTCCCCTTTTTTTCTGTTCATTACCATATCTCTTAAGGACTTTTACTAAGTAATCTTTTTTTATTCCTAATTATAAAACTGAGACAAATTTATCTGGAAAATCGGTCAAGTTTGGAGGGAAACAATGACCATTCATATCATACATACACAATATGTGAGTGCCTGTTTTCCCACTCTCATCAACATGGAGTATTATAAAAAATCTTGTAATCTTTGCCAATAATGGGTTAAAAATGGTATACTTATAATCTGTATTTCTCTTAAGTAAGTTTAAGCATCTTATGTATAAAGGCCATTTTACTTTGTGAACTATCTTCTGGTTTTTAAAAACTTTTTAACACTTAAAACATTTCATCTATCTGCAATTTATTTTGATGTTGTTAACCACCTTCCCCCTAACCCCACCCAAATCCGTATGTTAAATCCTAAACCCCAATGTGATGGTATTATGATGTGGGGCCTTTGGGATTAATGTCATTCATCATAAGAAGGACCCCTGAGAGCTCCCTCTCCTCTTCTACCATGTGTGGACACAGTGTAAAATAAAGCTGGCTGTCTAAGAACCAGGAAGCAGGCACTCACCAGACGCTGATCTTAGATGATTTAGCCTCCAGAACAGTGAGAAATATACTGCTGTTGTTTAAAAGCCAACTAGTCTATGGTATTGTTATAGCAGCCCAAAATGACTAAGGCAGATGTAAAATGGTAAGTTAATTTCCAAGGTTGCTAATCAATTGTTCCAGTACCATTTTTCAAATGAATCATTTCTCTGCCCCACTGACTTTTGATGTCCTTTGAGAATGTAACTACTTAAAATAATTTGTATTTCTCTTCTCACTTATTAACTTAAACTAATCTTTTAAGTAATTCTACCCGATGGATTAGATTTTCCATAACTGTACCCATGTCAATTCAAATATGTAGCTAAATAAACAATGAATATATAAAAAGTTGACAGTTATTTCATAGACAACACACAAGCCATACATTTAAATGTGGACAATCATGTTAGGTATATACTTAATTATTCTCACATACATAACATTATTTAGAAAAGCTTTACATACTATACACTGGACTACTGTAGGAGTCTAAGATATTGATTTTGGATCAATAACAATGTTAAAAAGAAACTTACCAGTTTCAACAAAGGGAAAAATTAAATAATCATCTATATAATAAAAGCCTAAGTGACCATTACAGCAAAATGACCAGAACGACCAGTCACTAGGATGTACACTGACCACCAGGGGGCAAACGCTCAACACAGGAGCTGACCCCTGATGGTCAGTGAACTCCCACATGGAGAGCGCTGCTCAGCCAGAAGCCAGGCTCACGGCTGGCGACAGCAGCCTCTCCTGCCTCCGCAGCAGCACTAAGGAGCAGCGAGCCGAGTGGTGAGGAGCAGCGAGCAGGCGGGCGGTAAGGAGGGCCCCCGGACTGCGAGAGGGATTTCCAACTGCTGGCTTATGCCCGCTCCCCTTGGGGATTAGGCCTAAGCCAGCAGGCAGACATCCCCCGAGGGGTCCCGGACTACAAGAGGGCACAGGCCAGGCTGAGAGACACTCCTCCCCCCGTGCACAAATTTCATGCGCTGAGCCTCTAGTTTACCAATAATCTCAAATGCTATCACATTTTCCCTTAAAATTATCAGCATCTGAAACCTTATTTTCTATAAGGAGAAAAATATAACCTCAGAACACTTTCCCAGGGCAAGGTGCCTAGTACTAACTTTAAGAAAATGTTTATACTCTAAAACAGCGATTTTCAACCAATGTGCCACAATAATTTTTAATTCATGCAACACCTGACTATTTAGTCAGGGGCACTGACCTCTTTTCCCTTAGATTGTCAAATAAAAAAAAGATAACAGCCAACACAACAATAGCCATCTGGTGTGAATGACTCAAAATTATACCTTTATTTTGGTCAGATGGGCAGAAAAATTATATTTTTTGGTGTGCCGCAGAATTAGTTCATGTGTGCCACAAGATGAAAAAGATCGAAAATCGCTGCCCTAAAATATTCCTCATATTTTTGTTTTCTTTAGTTCTCTCTCATCTGAAGCCTGAAAGTAAAGCACTCTTAAATTATAGTTTATAAGAAACTTGAGGGCAGAGGTTGGCTCTTTTATTTTCTTTGTGAATTTCCACAATAGCCAGAACAAAGTACTCTGCACATAATGGATACTCAACGAATGGTACTGATAGAAAGAACATACCCTAGGATGAAAGTCCTTTCTTAGAACTGGATTATTTTAGCCAATATATATGTAAATAGCAATAGCACTAGTTTTAAAAATTGTTTTTATCTATACATGTTACAAAAATATGTATCATATAATCATTTAAATACATAACAGTGAAAAAGCTTCAGGGATACCATTTTTTAACCCATTATTTGCAATTTAAATCCCTGAAGCCTTTTCACTGTTATGTATTTAAATGATTATATGATACATATTTTTGTAACATGTATAGATAAAAACAATTTTTAAAACTAGTGGGGGCTTGCACAGGGTGGGAATGGCTGTGGGGGGAGGGAGGGGTCAAGCAGCGAAAAAGGAGACATATGTAAAACTTTAGACAATAAATAAATAAATAAATGGTATCTCACACTTATAATTACAAAATCTTACCTCTTCAAATACAGCAGCTTTATTTACTTTTTCCCTTGCAATGTCACAGATTTTCAAGATTCCAAGAGCAAAAGCTTTCATGGCAGGATCTTCTATAAAGTCTGGATTATGAATGTAAAGACATGTAAAGACTGTCTGTGCCAAGGAGTGGCCTTCTAACCATGTTATCTATAAAGAAATAAAACAATGCATATGTTTAAAGTGACAGAGTCTGTAAAGTCTAAACTGATCCAAGAGTCAAAGACCAAAGTGCCACAGACCCAAGTAAATATAATATTAATAACAAGATTTAAAAGGTGATTAAAGGGAAGGTCAGTAAAGACAAAAAAGTTAGAATTCACTTTCATTGACTAAAGTCTTTTAAGAGTCACATACCATAAATATGATTAGCTAAAAGATATAAATATGGAAAGCATTCTTATATATAATTCAAGTTTGCAATATACTTGGAAACTAATGAAATTAAGTATCTCCAAATATGGCATCCAAATGCAATCAATTCCCCATGCAGTCAATAAAAATCCATAAACTAGGGAATTTACAATTTTAGAACTAGGTCCCAACCCACTCATTCAACTCTTCTTATCTCATCTAGTATTACCACAAGAAACATACAATGGTTTTATTGCCCCCCCCCCCATTTCTAATTCAATATCCCCAATGAGATGAATCTTTCTAAAACACAAAAAAATCATTCAACACTATTTTACTGAGTAGTTACGATGGGCCAGGAACCATGTGCTCAAAGCTGGGAATATCTATAGCAGCCAAAACTGAGTAACTATTATGCCCCAAGTGCTATGCTATTTTCATATATTCTATCTCATTTCCTAACACTCTGAGGAGAGTGATATTTTTCTCCTTTTACATATAAAGAAACAAAGTCAGAGAGTGTAAATAATTTTGTCCAAGTTTTATATAGTTATATTTTACATTAAGTCCAAGAATTCTGCAATAGAGCAAGACACATACTGCTGCATTATAAAATGAGAAATGCATATGAAAATCACTATAATTAAGGTATGTATTTTGTATTACCAGTATGCAGAAGATTGTCCAGACTAAAAGCCATCTGCTTATTAAAGGCCAAACTCTTAGCTACAGTCCCAAGAATCTCATACAAATAATGGTTGCTCAACTTTGACAAAAATCCTCCCTCTTGCCTCCATTTGTCCTATGGTACTGTAAACTGCTAAAAAGTAAGAAAGATATCTTTGAGGGAAAGAAACAGCTTTGGGGGAAGAAGGATCAGGATCAAGACTCTGGTTATGCCCCTTCCTAGCAATGTAATCCTAGGCAAATAAGGTTATATCAGATATTGAATAGAGCTGATATAAGACCTAAGTGAAAAATATAGAAGTACTTATTTTTACACTGGCAAGGAAGACTTACTAAATGACCAAATGAATAAAATTTACATATTTCTAAGATAATAATTTAAAAATTTAAAAAGGATGGTTAGAAAGTGGGCAAAAAAAGAAAAAAACAAAGAAAAGCAGTACAGTAGATTAGCACCTCCCTAGAGGACAGAAGTTTTCCCACAGCTGATTCTCACAGCCAGTCGGCCTGGTGGTCAAACCCCTCTAGTTTTAACTACAACGCCCCTTCCTAGCAATGTAATCCTAGGCAAATAAGGTTATATCAGATATTGAATAGAGCTGATATAAGACCTAAGTGAAAAATATAGAAGTACTTATTTTTACACTGGCAAGGAAGACTTACTAAATGACCAAATGAATAAAATTTACATATTTCTAAGATAATAATTTAAAAATTTAAAAAGGATGGTTAGAAAGTGGGCAAAAAAAGAAAAAAACAAAGAAAAGCAGTACAAATGAGAATTTTGCCACAATTAATCAATACTGTTTAGGGAAGACAACTTATCCAGCATATAGAAAGCACCACAAAATTTTCTTCATCTTCAAAAACATGGCCAGTTTCGTATAATTCACTCTAGATTAGGAAAAATATCTCTCCAAAGCCAATCCAAAATCTTTGTTTCAATTCTATGCTTCTTTATGGAACCTTTCAATTACAGATTTGTTTCCCTGGGTACCTTGAGAACAAAAAGGGTCCTTAGGGTAATAGCTACACTATTATCTTCACTAGAAAGAAAATATCCCCTTTTCCAGAACCTGAGATTTTAAAATCACCAGATGAGTAGATAAAATGCTATTTCCTATAGCGTAACTTGGCCTGTCAATCTTTTGTACACCTTACTAGGCCAAGCATTACATATATTTCATACTCAATATCAGTGTGTATACTTTTAAAGATTCAGGTAAGTCATAGTTTTAAAATTAACCAATAGTGTTACTTTGATTCTTACCAAACAGCAAAAACACGTATCCATTATCCCTATCAATTCCGGCAAGGTGAGGTCTTTAATTTTAATGGTACCATCCTAAAAAAGGAGGGGAAATATGACATATAAACAGAAGTTTTCAAGATTTATGTACAGTAGCATTTTGCAAATGCTATATCAGATCCATGCATTTTGGCTTTCAAAAATTAAGTATTTAGAAATAGCAATTCTAAGAGCACTCTATCTCACCATCTGATAAAACTAAGATGCCAAATTAACTCTGTATTCTTAAAAGTAATATATCTGAAACAGGTCTTCAGTAAGAAAAATCCAAGCCTCTTTCATTTGAAACAGAATAAAGGACTTTATAAAGAACTGAAAAGCCAAACTAACAAGTATTTTAAAAGCAGTTCAAATTAGTTTCAAGCATTAACATGAATCATTTTAATGAATCAAAACTTACAAAGAATAAAATAAACATTTAAAAAAATATACTTCCCTTAAGTTGGTTAATTATACTACTTATAAATTTTGTTTACAATATCCATTTACTTAGCAAATTTTTTTCATAAAATATGCAAAATTAAACTCTGTGGTAACTATGAATGAATTTCTAAATCAATTCTCAATGAGTAAATTTCAAATTCACTGCCACAAGCATTTTACTTAATATGTAATAGATAGGTTATGGGTTCGATCCCTGGTCAGAGGGAGTGCAGGAGGCAACTGATGGGTACTTCTCACATTGATGTTTCTCTGTCTCTCCCTTCCTTCCCTCTAAAAATCAATGAAAACATATCCTCAGGTGAGGATTAAAAAATATATAATAAAAAATAATAAATATATTAATAGATAAAATTTAATCCTTAAGCCAATTACCCTGGTATTTGAATATATACTCAAATGCTTTCAAAAGTCAATTTTTATAATGCACACACAAAATTAGAGCAAACTTTTAATGAAGACCTTAAATAATTTTCAGATTTCCATAGAAAGAGATAACTAAAAGTTATAAATAACTCATTTATATATCTGAGATACTCTTAGAAAATTATACTTTAAGTAATACACTAAGTTTCATTTTCATTACTAACCAAAAATGTTTTAAAATGTGAATAACAAATAATAAAAGAAAACACAAAAAGCACAACGGTGACTACCTTGATAGCTTGTTCAAAATTGAGAACTTTTCGATTAACTTGGTTTCCAATCATGCCAGCATCCATCTTGGGATCCATCATTTCAATGGCAGACATGGCTTCAAAAAGACCAAATCTACAAATAAAAAAAATTGACCCCACAAATTGTTTCTGAACTAGAAGCTTATCCAGATTTCCACAATGGTAAAAAATTATAATAGTACTTAAAATAACTTCATTATTTTATGTACTTAATATTTAAGTCTTTCCAACTTGCTAACGCTTCAATTAAATAACCTTCCTTTAACACAAAAATTCTTCCATGTACTTGTCAATGAAATTACTTTACATGCACTGTGGAAGAGAAAACAAAAGATGAATTTTGTACTTCTTTCAATAGGCTGGGCATTAGAAATTTTTGGAAAAGACATCAACTGATCTATTTCAACTTTATTATTGTTGGGTTTTTCTTTCAGCACTATGAACTTGAAAAAAAATGAAACTAGGTTTTATAAATTAGTAGTCACATTTAATATTTGGACCACGTTTTAGTCTTGGGTGCTCAAAACACTAGAGCAGCAATGACCAACAGAAATATAATGTGAGCCATAGAGATAATTATAACTTTCCTAGTAGCCACACAAAAAAGTAAAAAGAAACAGATAAAATTGATTTTAATAACATGTTTTAACTCAATATGTCCAAAAGTTTTTTTAATTGATCCTTAGTATTTAAAATTATTAGTGAGATATTTTGCATTCTTTTTTGCATATTAAGGTTTTTATTCCAATGCATATATTATGCCACATTTCAATTTGGGCCAGCTGATAGCCATGTGTGGTTACTGGATAGCACAGCTCTGGAACTTTGCTTCTAGTAACATCAACACTTCACCTAAGGTCTCTAAGGTCACCAATTTTCCTTCTTCCTGCTGCTTCTTTAAGTTTTAAGAAAGTAGCATCTTAGAGAATCAGAACCTATGTTAACATTTAAAAATAAACCATTAAACAAACAAACAAAACAAAAAAACAGAACCAGGAGCCTCAGATTATAGTCCAATTTCTCAGGATATCTATCTAAGTGAAATTTTGTTCAAATATAAGTGATAAACAAAATCTCTTGCAGTCATGTCATTTAGATATAACAATTATAGCAATATTTCATAAAGGCTTGGCCCTAAGCTAGAATCAGTTCTTGCCATCAGGGCCTTAAAAACATTTTTTGGAAAGATAGACATGCATACATGAAATAATTAAATAACCAAGCAGGGCAAATATTTAGCTAGGCAAAGTAGGTAAGGGAAAGTAAGGGTGAAAGGAAAAGGGTATACAAAGGTATAGAGGCTGGAACTGGCTGGGGTAAAGGGAGCACACAGTCACCCTCAGGAGGTGCTTGCTCCGCCTGCTTTCTCAGAGTTGGAGACCTCCTAAGAGAAAGAGGGGAAGCATGATGTAAACTTGCTTTACTCCAGTAAAGGGAGGCTGTATTTCAAATCTCTCTGGTCCCTTCTATTCTACTGAACTGTGCTTCAGCACAGTATCTGTATGATGCAGTTTGAGGATTTAAAAAATTGTCTTCTGTATATATAAATTACAGAATTGAATTAATCCTATGGCTGGCAGTCTGGAGACCCTTACCAATTTTACATGCTCAATTGAGAGTCCTGAGAACGCTTAGTGTTTATGTTCCCTAGTAGTTATGGCCTCTAGAGAGCCTGTGCTATTTTTGGTTTATGAATGTATACTGAACAAATATATGGGACTCTGTAATCCAGATAATGTGCCAAAGTATTTTTTGTAGAACATTAGTCCTATGAAGATTCCACGAAATAAAGTTTCCATGGTCAACAGCATTTTGGAAACTCTATACCAGAGGGACTGGGTATATTAGCATATTAGCTTTTGGAGGAGGGAGAGAGAGAGAGAGAAACACCTGTGTGAGAGAGACACATCGATTAGTTGCTTCCTGCATGCACTCCAATCAGGGTTGTGGATCGAACCTGCAACTCAAGTACGTGCCCTTGACCAGAATCAAACCTGAGGCCCTTTGGTCCACAGACTGACTCTCTAACCACTGACACAAACATTTCATATCACAAACTAGGGTCCGCTGCCCCTATATAGTTCACTAAGGTTAAAGATATATTTATAATTAGTTTTATTTTTATAGCTTTGAATATAAAATTACTCAGACTTCAAGGAACACTACTGCACATGAGAAAAAACAAATACTTAGGGCACAATATACTTACAGCTTATCATGAAGCAGTTCTCCCAACTTTAATTCTAAAAGAAACAAAGAGAAAAATCCTTTAAATGCTAAGAAAAAAATAAAACAAAATGCTAGTACCTGAAAAATGTGCTTGCATTAATTTTCTAAGATATGATTGTATTATTTCTACTCAATTACTAACTCAATGCCTTCTACACAGTGAACATTTAAATATTAACCATAAACTAAACTTTTAAGAATTAATAAGCAACCCATCAAGGGCCAAAATAATCCAATTAGAATTACCAACCTCATTTTAAAAAATCACTAGTGTTCCCTTAAATAAACTTTTTCATAGAACTGCTATTTCTCAAGTTGTTTTTAAACCAGTTGGAGTCAATCTAATGTCTTTTGTCTTTGAAAGTGTTAAAACTATTTTTTAATTATATTTTAGTTAAATAATATAGAAAACACTTGCATAAACAGCTAATGAAAACACTGTTCATCCTCTATAAAGCAGTTCTCAACTGCAACTGCATATTAGTATCAACTGGGGAGCATTTGAAAATTTCAGTCCAAGCAGCACCCCAAACCAACTAGGGGTGGGGCTTATGCAGTGGTTTTAAAGTACTCCAAGTAATATCAATGAGCTGGTAAGGTGGGAACTAAGCCATCAAAGAGAGAAGAAAATGGCTTAGTCAATAAAGCTTTGGCCTGAAGACTGAAGATTCCTGGGTTGGATTCTGGTCAAGGGCACATGCCTGGTTGTGGGCTCGATCCTCAGTGGGGGGCATGCAGGAGGCAGTTGATCAATGATTCTCTCTCATCATTGATGTTTCTATCTCTCTCTTCCTCTCTGCAATAAAAATATCCCATATAATAAACGCATAGTATGCAAATTGTCACCTTGACTGGGAGTTGGTCAGGGAGTTTGACCAGGGGTCGGGCCGGCTGAGGAAAGGGAGGGAGCCAGCAGCAGCTGGCCACCGGGGGAAGGGAGGGAGGCCCTGGCCGGCAGCTGGCAGCGGCTAGGGGTCCTACCAGTGCACAAATTTCGTGCACTGGGCCTATAGTCTATCTATATATATAAAACCCTAATATGCAAATAAACGGAACAGTGGAACAACCAAACAACTGGTCACTGACATGCACTGACCACCTGGGGACATGTGTGGAATATGGCGGCGGCCGGCAGCTGGCAGCCGCTAGGGGCCCTACCAGTGCACAAATTTCGTGCACTGGGCCTATAGTCTATCTATATATATAAAACCCTAATATGCAAATAAACGGAACAGTGGAACAACCAAACAACTGGTCACTGACATGCACTGACCACCTGGGGACATGTGTGGAATATGGCGGGTGTCAGCAGCAGGTGGCAGAGTGTGGAACATGGCGGGCATCAACTGTGGTGGGATGGTGGAGTAGGTGAGCGGGGGCGCCAGACCAAGGCGGGGTGCCGGTCACTGTCATTAGGGTGGGCCTCTGGTGGTTACTGAAAATTCTTTGCTCCCGCATGCCACAGTCCCACCCGGCACTCGCACCTGCTGCTGGCACCGGCCCCACTTGCACCCACTGCTGGCACCCGGCACCAGTCCCGAACTGCCAAAAGCCTTTAGTTCTAAATCTACATGTAAATGACAATTAGTTCTATATCAACTTTTTAGTTTCAAGAAGTACACCTCACATTTGTGCCACTTGAGAAAATGCAAGAGCTAATTATGGAGAAGTTAATAGGATGGTTTGATGTTGGCAACAAAATGACATGCTACCCTCTCTCAATCCACACTGAAGCAGAGATTAAACCATATCTCCTACTTGAGGTCCTTCCATCAGGAAGCAAAATTATTCGCTGTTCCTCAAACATAAAAACTGTATCTGACTCTAATGCTTCATCTCAGTCTAGAACAGCAGTTCTCAACCTGTGGGTCGCGACCCCTTTGGCGGTCAAACGACCCTTTCACAGGGGTCGCCTAAGACCATCCTGCATACCAGATATTTACATTACGATTCATAACAGTAGCAACATTACAGTTATGAAGTAGCAACGAAAATAATTTTATGGTTGGGTCACAACATGAGGAACTGTATTTAAAGGGCCAGAAGGTTGAGAACCACTGGAATAATTCCCTATGTTCACTTAGAGCAGTGGTTCTCAACCTTGGCTGCACATTAGAATCACCTGGGAATCTTTTTAAAATCCTGATTTCTGGGCCTCATCCTCCGGAAATTCTGTTTCTTTGTTACTAATGTTGTGGCCCCACCCCATAACAAAGAAACAGAATTTCTGGAGGATGAGGCCCAGAAATCAGGATTTTAAAAAGATTCCCAGGTGATTCTAATGTGCAGCCAAGGTTGAGAACCACTGACTTAGAGAAACTCAACCATTTCTTTAAGCCCCAACTTAAGCCATATGTATGTCATAAAACCTTTCCCATTTAGGTTCATAATAACAGCCCTTTAATATAGATCACTTAAAATCAGTGCAAGATGATAGGTATGAGATCCACTAATAGTCTAAGATCTCTGAGTACAAAAACTACACTGTAACTTACACTTCTTTCTCTCTTCCTTAGATTGCCCATACCAGTACATGGGCAATCACCCAACTCCCAGTCTAATGTTCTTTCCACTCTCTCTTAGGCATATTTTAATTGGACACATATTTTAAGAGTAAAAGGGTAGGCACATGATTTATCATTCTGCTTATATTCAACTGGCTCCCTTTCCATCTGCAGCTGCTCCAAGTCTTCACTCCTCTCCTTAAGAGCACTGTTCTAAAAACACCCTATTTCACCACCAAAGACCTAACCTTCTTGCTCACTAATGTAGAAGCCATCAAGGTGTGAATCCCTCCACCATTCCTCTCTATCCACTTAGAAATAGACCTGTATCTTCACATCCTAACCTCAGTTCCTCCTGTCTCATTATGTCCCTACTAGAGGCCCAGTGCACAAAATTTGTGCATGAGTAGGGTCCCTAGGCCTGGCCAGCAATTAGGGCTGATGGGGGCTTTCTGGCTGCCAGCTGGGGCCTCCCTTCCCCAGCTGCTGGCTGGGACCTTCCTTCATTCTGCACTGCCCCCTGGGGGTCAGTGCATGTGATAGTGAACAATCAAACTCCAGGTCTCTGGGTCAAACTCCCAAGGGGACACTTTGCATATTAGCCTTTTATATTTATAGGTTTTCCCCCATCCCCAAGTTAATTTCTCTAGCATGTTTTTGAGCCAATTCTCTCTTAAAGTTCAAGCTCTCACTCTTTGTTCCTTTCTCTTATCTTCAATCTCCCACCTCAGTAAGGCTCTTTCCCCTCATACAAACATGCTCATTTATCCAATCATTTATGCCCAAACATTTATCGAACTTACTATATGTCAGGAAATGTTCTGTGTGCTAGGGTTACTGACAAGATCTCTGCACTCACAGAGTTACAATCCAGTGGGTGAGACTGATAATAAATAACTGAAAATGATAATTTATGACAGTAGGTAAATGTTATGAAGAGAGTAAAACAGGGTGATTTAACTGAGCTGGAGTTGGCTAGAAGGGGGTGAATCTGCTTAGATTGGTTGTTTTGACAAGTCTTCACTGGAGAGGTAACATTTTAAGTGCTCAGGAGGGAGCCAGCTATGCGAAGACCTAGGGGTAAAGTAATTTAAGGTATGAAAAACAAAATATTCAAAGAAGGAAGGACCATGTTGTAGTGCTTAATAAGATAAGGACTTAAAACTAAACACAGCTCTAACCGGTTTGGCTCCTTGGATAGAGCATCGGCCTTCGGACTAAAGCGTCCCAGGTTTGATTCCGGTCAAGGTCACATGCCCAGGTTGCAGTCAGGTTTGATTCCGGTCAAGGTCACATGCCCAGGTGCAGGCTCGATCCTCAGTGGGGGGCGTGCAGGAGGCAGCTGATCAATGATTCTCTCTCATCATTGAGGTTTCTATCTCTCTCTCCCTCTTCCTTCCTCTCTGAAATCAATAAAAATACATTTTAAAAAACCAACCAACAAACAAAAAACACAACTAAACATAAATGAGCCCAGTGGGACAGTGGTACAAAAATGAAATCTTGCCCTGACTGATGTGGCTCAGCTGGTTGGAGTGTGGTCCTGTACCTCGAAAGATAGTGGGTTCCAGTCCCAAGTAAGGGCACATACCCAGGTTGTGGGTTCGATCCCCCGTTGGGGCATGTTTGGGAGGCAACTGATTGATGTTTTTCTGTCACGTTGATGTTTCTCTCTTTCTCTCTCAAATCAATAAAAAATGCTAAGCGAAATAAGCCAGTTGGAGAAAGATAAATATCACATGATCTCACTCATTTGTGGAATATAATGAACAACATAAACTGATGAACAAAAAAATAGAGCCGGGGGAAAAATATTTTAGAATATAGTAGAAGTAATCCTGTTATTTGCAGATTTTTAATATTTCCTACAACTTTTGTGATATCATACTATGTTAGTACAGTTCTGGTAATATTATTATACTTAAAATTCTTTTTTTTCTTGAAATATTAATGTTTGTTGCATGTAATATATTTAAGATCGTTTTTCTGTAATAATTGGTGTTTATTGCATGTAACATTTAAATTCGTTTTTCTTGAGATATTAATGTTTATTGCATGTAACATTTTTATATTTAAAATCGTTTTTCTTGGAAAAAAATAAATTTTCACTTCTAAAAAAGAAAAAAAAGGAAAACAAAGAACAGCGCAGGCTGGTGTGGCTCTGTTGATTGTCATCCCATTCACCATAGGTCACCGGGTTCGATTCCCAGTCAGGGCACATGCCTAGTTGAGGCTTGATCCCCAGTAGGGGGCATGCAGGAGGCAGCTGATCTATGTCTCTCCCTCTCTCTTCCTCTCTCTTTAAAAAAAAAAAAATCAATAAAAACAACTGGCTTTAAATGAAAGTTAAACCTAGAGGATAGAGAATGAATGAGTGTGGTTAACAAAACTTACATAAAGCACACTTATCTACTGACTTGATTTACGGAGACACTGCCAAAATCACAATCAAGATTTGATGTTACCTTTGCCCAGATTCTGAACTTCCAATCCAAATATCCAAACTCACCTCGACAAGCGTCTTCAAAATCTTGAGTGATGTCCACCCAGTTTGCACTGCTTTTTTCCATCTTTTCGGGTATACTGAGCTCCCATCCTGAATCATCGTCTTCCACGGACGCTTTCATAACCATGATGCCTGCAGAATTAGCACCTGGTGTAAAAGACAGGACGGACGCCGCTTTCAGGGCCAGCCTATCTGCAAGCCCCTGTGTGTCTAAGTCGGGGATGAAAATCTCACCAAAGTGTTTCAGCCCAGCTCTTCTGAGTTTGCGGCTGGTATTGGAAAAACATGTCTTCATACAATTAAGTCTCACAATACCACCACTGCGGCTCATCTACTTAGCCAACCACCTACCAGAGCTCACAAAGAGTTTGCCTGCTCACTATTTCAGGAGGAAAAGCACACCTCATGCCAGCACTGGCCCCAGCAGAAGCCACTCCAGAGCTTCCGACATTCGACTCAGGCCAAGGCATCCTTCAGGGTCCCCTCTCGCAACGACTCCAGTCAGGGTGACCCCCCACCTGCCAGGAGACGGCGGGCCGCCTCTCCCAGCCCGCAGGACCCAGGCAGA